CGCTCACAGCTCTTGCGGACACAGACAAGTATACAAATAGCTTTTCATTAAGACCAAGGGCGGTCAATACAGGGGGTGATACCAAGTATAGTTTCAGCTTGTTGAATGCGGCTTCGCACTCCGGGGTCCACTCAAATCGGGTGTCGTTCTTCAAGGTTTGGAAGAATGGAGCGCATTTATCGATGGATCTTGGGATGAATCGTCCTAAGGCGGCTAGCTTGCCGTTCAGCGATTGGACTTCAGTGGCGCTTCTGGGAGCGACCTCAATTCGGGTCGACCTCAATTCCGCGTTTTGTTATCATGAATCCGAGAAACTTTCCTGCTTTCGAGCTGAAGACACACTTCAGCGGGTTGAGTCTGAGGCTGTTTCTGCGTAACGCCTCAAATGTTTCGCGGAGGTCTTCCAAATGGGAGTCCCCACTCTTTGTCTTGACGATGAGGTCATCCACGTAGGCCTCAATGTTGTACCCCATCTGGGGTGCGAAAACTGTGTCGATCATCCGCTGGTATGTGGCGCCCGCGTTCTTTATGCCGAACTGCATTCCTGTGAAATAGAAATTGCCGAATGGCATCATGAAGGCGGTTTTCTCCTCGTCTTTGCGACTCATTGGGATCTGGTGGTAACCTGAAACCATATCTAAGAACGATAATGTTTCGTGGTTGGATGTCGCGTCGATTAGTTGGTCAATGCGCGGAAGGGGGTATGGGTCTCCCGGGCATACTTTGTTAATGGTGGTGTAGTCTACGCACATTCTCCATGCACCTGAAGCATTTTTCACCAAGACTACATTTGCCAACCACTTTGGGTACTTTACTGCCCGGACGAGACTGGCGGCGAGTAGCCGCGCCACCTCTTCTTCTATAGCCTTCAGCTTCTCGCCCGTGAACGTGCGCTGTGCTTGCTGTCGGGGTTCCGTGGTGTTTGGTACCGCAAGGCAATGCTGCGCCACATGCCTTGGCACTCCTGACATATCTTTTGTGCACCAGCCAAAGAGTTCTTGGTACTCTTGTAGTAGTTTTACCAACGGCTCGATCATGTCTCCCGGGACGTGGGTCGAGATGCGCACTTTTTTGCTTGGCTTTTCCTGATTCAGCGCGACCTCGAAGTCGGAGTCCATTGACTCTGGGCGGGGGTCGGCGGCGCGGGTGTCAATGATGTTTGTCTGTCGTGGTGGCGCGGTGGGGCGCGGGATTTGTTGTTTTCTCTCGGACTATGTTGAGCTGCGCGACTCTCCAGTTCCCGCCTTGGTGGGGAATTTGAGTTTTTGGTGGCAGGTGGATGCTAGTGCCATGAATTTAGCCAGGAATGGGCGGCCCAATATGCCATTGTGTGGTGAGTCACAGTCTACAATAGTGAACTGGACTTGCTTTGAGATGTGTGGCTCGTCGTCTCCGATTACGACTGGTAGTGTAACTTCCCCAATGACCGCGACTCTTGCTCCGGAGAATCCCACTAAGTTTCCTTGCGCACGTTGGATCAGACGCGGGTCTATGTCCATTTGATCCAATGTGCTCTTGAACAAGACGTCCACCGCGCTTCCTCCGTCTATGAGTAGGCGGTGTACTTTGCACGCGGCGATGAGCGCCGTTATGGTTAGTGGTTCCTCTGACGCCGCCCCTCGCGGGAGCTCTGAATTATCGAAGCTCAGATCGCACTTCGTAGTAGCCCTTGTTGTTGCGCATTCCAGCGCGTGGTCTCGCTTTGTCTTTTTCTTTGGTCGGTCCCCTTCGATTGTGACGACACCTATTTCTTTGCGGACGATGTATGACCCCGTTGTCTCGTTGTAGTCTGCTTGGGGAGGCGGTGGTGGGATGTTTTGATGGTCTTTCCGCTCTTCTGCCCGCTTTATGTATTCTTCTAGGTATCCTCTTCTAATGAGTCCCTCTATTTCCATGCGCAAGTTGAAGCAATCTTCAGTCATATGGCCTGACTCTCGGTGAAAGTCGCAGTACTTTCTGTGATCGCGCATGTGCATTAGGGCTCTCACTGGAGCCGGCCAGTTGACGCGGTACCCCTTCTCTCTGATGAGGTGGAATATGTTCTTTACTGAGTCGTTGAGGGGGGTGAAGCTCATAGGCGGGCGCCTGTCTGGGAAGCGCCTGCGTTGTGGGGGTTCTTGTGGGGCTGGTTGCTTGCCATACCCGCTATGGTACTGTGGGAGCGGGAGTAGTGGTTCCCGTCGCCTTTTCTCCTCTCGAGGAGGTCTTTTCGGTTCGTAGCGGTGGACCGATCTCGCACCCAGGGTTCCCTCCTAGGTGATAGCTTTCTCGATCTTTGCTTCCAATTCCGAAGACAGAATGACGGGCCTTTTGGCCAGCGCGCGTTTGAGTTCCGCGTTGGTGGTTGCTTCCATGAGGTGGTGGGCGGCGGTCTCTGGAGCTAGGTCGCGTACCGCCATCGCGGTCCTCGACAATCTGGCATAGAATGCCCGCAGGCTTTCCCCATCCTTCTGTTTTAGGTCAATCAATGCTTTAAGGTGGAGCAGTCTTCTATTTTGGGAGGCGAACTTCGTTGTGAACAGTAGTATGAATTCTTCGAAGGTGCGGATGATTCCGTTGGGGAGGCGGTTATACCAATCCAGGCATATGCCCACAAATGTGGATGGGAAGGTTCTGCATAGTGCCGCGTTGGAGTTCATTTGCAGCTGCATGCGGAGGCAGAAGCTGCTGACGTGGTCCTCTGGGTCTGTTGTCCCGTTGTACGTGGGCATGGTGGGTGGGATCCCGCTTAAGTGTTCCACCATAATTTCCATGCACAGTAGTTGTGCAGGATTATTTTGGGCCGCGCGAGATATTGTGGGGACAGGTGCTGCTCAAAGAAAGTCAGATCTGCTCTCGCCGGTGGATCCTGTTCGCGGGATTGCAGGTTTGCCTGTCTGACTGTTTGGCAATCTGTGGGCGGTGGTAGCGTCATTGCTGGCCGCTCTGACGTGGTCGCGAAGGTCTCTTTGCTCATCATCAGGGCGATCACTTGATTCATTTTCGCCTGCATGTCCGCGATGACCTCGTTTTGTTTGGTCATTTGCTGGCGGACCTCTTTGGCTGTAAGCTTTGGCTCTTCTTCTTCGATCAAGACCGCGTTGAGGTTGCTAGCTTCCGCGAACGACCTTGAGTTTGTCACTGCCTTGATCGGGGTTGCTTCGTTAGGAATGTTACTGTCTTGTTCCACCATTTGCGATTTTGCTGTCCTATTGCTTCTCTACTCTTGCCCCACGGTGGGCGCCAATTGTTTGAGTCTAACTGAGAGTAGGAGGGAGACTCGGATGAAAGGTGGGTGAGGAGAGTAAGCAACATGGAAGTTAGGGCATAGAGAACTCTTAGAGAGATAAAGTTCTTAGTATGTAGAGATAGAGAGTAAAAATGTCATCCTCTCACCCACCGGAGTAAATGCCATATTTATAGGCTACATGGTGGTGGGTGAGTATTTAATGTGACATGATTACTGACATGTCAGGCGTTTAGGCCACACCTCTACCTAGGACTAGAAGATTTGTCCATGATTATACCTAGGACTATGATGTGACCACTCTTCGGGGAATGCGGCGTCGTTTTCATGGTTTCTTGGTCTGGTCAAAGCCTGATTGAAACGTAGTCGTTCGGCGTCTGGGATCTTCGTCCGCAAGTGCGGCCTCTTCCGCGCCCGTGATCCTCGCGCGGGTGCTACCTTGGTTGTGATGGTGCTAACGCGCCTGACTCTTCTGGGGCGCTGTCGGGATGCTTCCTTGGCGCGGCTAGACCCGAGCCATACACCCAACCAATGCAGTCAAAATCGCGTTTTAAAACTTAAAAACTTACGATTTTACGCTTTCGGGTCCCCAAAACGCTTTCGTTTCCATATAAAACTCAAGTGTATAAAATCGAACTAAATTGTGGTTTAAAGCTTAAAAAATTACTTTTTTACGCTTCTAGTTCACCAAAACGCTTTACGTTTTTATGCTTTTAGTTCACTAAATGAGTATTCTTTTCATGAAATTAATTATAAAAAGTATATAATAAAAGTAAATCACCAACAATATGATACATTTGAGATTAAAACATACATACCAGGTATTTGGATGCATTCTCAACTTCAATAGAGTAATCTAATTCACCATCTAGGCTTTTCCCAAATTCATTAGCATAGAGGGAAAAGTGGTTATTGTTAAAATTTACGAACTTATGATTAAGAACCTATAAGTTGCTCTACTTTAGTCATGAATTGCATGTATTTATTAACTTATCTAAATTCAGTGCATTCATATTTTGCATAGCATATGTCCTACTTAATAGATTTGTAGTTATTTTTCAGTATGCGTCAAAAACTAACGTTTTAACGCTTTGATTCTACGCTATACGATTTTACCCCTTTTCCGCTTTTAGGTAGAATCGCGCTTTTTACTGCATTGCACCCAACATAATCAAATAAGAAAATTATGAAATATAAAAATACATTAATTCTCACCCTTTAAATCTAGGCCTTTCTAACCCCACTCAAAACTAAGGTTTCACATATGAGTATATATAGTTTTTTTTTATTGATGGAAGGGAGGCAAAAGCCTAATACAAACGGTCAACTATGCTGTGACAAAACACAGATAGCAGCATAAACAAAAAAAACCCACCAATTATCTAAAGGAGAGGAGAACAAAGAGAGTCATAAAATACTATGCACCCTATCCTAAGCCAATAAGTTGCAGAATTTTTCCGAAACTCTGATGCGACATATAGAAATCAATGACTGAATATTTAATGTGGGGACAGTGTAAGGAATTAATTAGATATAGCCATATAGGTACTATTTTTAATTTATATGAAGAAAGTCAAGAAACCCACCAAGGTGGGAATCTCTCTATTGGTTTTATCCTCAAATGAATTGCCTCAGTACCAAATCACTTGATAAAATATATTTCAGTTCTGCCAATCGCTAGAATCAGCCCAATTTCCATCAACCAATCAATGCATAAATATGCATATTCCTCAACCTATAAATAACAGGCCAATGAGTACAATTTTCCCTCACCCCATCCCATTCCATCCCAAAGCTTTGCAAGCGGCAACTTCAGACGCCAATTGGAGAAAGCCATAAACAAACAACAGGTTAATTAATAATTAACCATCATGGTGAAGACACAAGGTCTGTTGATTGCCGTCGCATGGCTTTTGGTTGCCGCATTCATTATCATGGCAGCGAATCCCGTCGCCGCCGACGGCAGGCCAACCCCTGAAGTCGCCGGATGGGGTAGCCGTGGGTGGGGTCGCCGGAGTGGATGGGGTTATTATGGCTACCACCACGGCAGCCACCACGGTGATGACCACCACGGTGACCACCATGGTAAACATTAAAATATTATTTATATAAAAAAATTAAAATTTCCAAAACTTTCCCTAACTATATATATAACCTTCAGGTACTGATTTTAATAAATAATGTTCGATCATTTTTTGAAGGGCACCACCGTCGCATGATGTGAACGAAAGGACCCGTGGGATGGTACGATGGAGAGGGATGTGGGCATCTATCCTTAGCAAGATGTTGGTATAGCTAGCTATAGCTTGAACCTTGCTATATGATTATAGTTTAAATTTTCTTAATTTCCGGTTCGTAGTTCGTTCAAATGGAAGCTTTATATACATCATGTACTTTATAAAAAGATATGGTAATTATAACTGTCGCAGATTACTGTGTAATTCCTTTTGCATTCTGAATATTATACTACATGATTAAATACGTTCGTGCTTATGGTTTATTTATTAAATAGATTTGCACAAAAAAGGCTATTCAACATATTCACAACTAATTGTAAAAAAAAAAAAGACAAATTAACAACCAAGTTCTAGGTTGGTTATACTGTGCATGAGCCGACTCGATTTATGAATAGAATAACAACATTTCTAGTGTTGTTATAGACATACAGTGATAACAAATTTCATTAAAAAGTGTAAAAATGTAAAACACCTAAAAGCAGTAGTGTTTACACCCAAAAAATAATCTTGTATCACATTGATTATTTACAAGGTATTTATTATCTTTGTAAGGCCAGATCATTAATGACACTTAATGTTATTAGAACTAGGCCTCATGAACTAGTCTCGTCACGAGTTGGGTAGCCCGACGTGGTCACGAGATCTAGACCGCGTTGGCATCAAATTTAGAGCCTGACGTGGTCGCGAGATCTAGACCGCGTTGGCATCATGTTTAGAGTCCGACATGGTCGCGAGATCTAGACCGTGTTGGCGTCAGTTTAGAGCCCGACGTGGTCGCGAGATCTAGACCCCGTTGGCGTCAAATTTAGAGCCCGACGTGGTCGCGAGATCTAGACCACGTTGGCGTCAAGTCTAGAGCCCTACGTGGTCGCGAGATCTAGACCACGTTGGCGTCAAATTTAGAGCCCGACGTGGTCGCGAGATCTATACCACATCGTGAGTCTAGACCATGTCCAAGATCTAAACTAACAAGGTGGAAGTAAGAAAGCAAGCCATGTGGGAGAGGCAAGCAACAAGACGACAGTTCCAAGATAAAGAGCAGGCGGTTAACAGAGGAACTGCCGATTATCCCACGTGCAAGGACACGTCAGCCATATCCGAGGAAGAAGGGGAGCAGCTCTTTTTTGGAATTTACTCTCAGACGCTTTTTGTACGACAGTTACCACTTCAAAGCTATAAATAGAAGGAGGAGTTGACAGAGGGGGGTTCGCCAAATTCACACCAGACAACCCAATGTCAAATTTTTATCATTTTATCATTTCCAGCTTTCCTCTGCAATTTTAGCCTTAGACATAGATCTGGAGCTCTCACTGAACCTCCATAGGAGTAGGAATAACTTAATGTAGATCTATCTCGGGAGTCGTGTAAACATCGATCACTCTCGTTCGAACTGTGTTTGAAGACGTGTGAACCATGTTTAGTGATCGTTGTCCAAAGAAGTCAAGGTGCAATCAATTCGATTCAATGCAAGTTTTCTCGCTAGAAAACAAGTAGATTTTTCTCTCCTAGCGCCAATCTTCTTATCTGCCATCGCCGACGCCATTGCGCATGTTGCCTTACAAAGGGTATGGAAAGAAAATCTCTGAATTTCCGTTTTCGGTTGCGGTGATTATCGCCGATGAATTCATGGTTTTCTCGGGGTCGAGCTCGAGCTTGGGGGAGAAATTGTCCGCAATATGGTGTGGATGGAATTGAATCATTGACTCAATTTTCTCCCCCCCCCCCCCCCAACAACAATGTCCACTGAATCGTTGTCTAGATGTTCAAAGTCAACTGATTGAGCGCAGACGACAACCAGATCTTCTTATCCAACACAACAGTCTATAGCTTCCGTTAGACTAAAGAGAGCGACTGCGAGAGTACCTCCACAGAGGTATGGCTTCGAGGACATGGTGGCGTACGCTTTTTAGGTTGCTAAAGAGATGGATGCGGGTGAACCAAAGCCCTACAGAGAAGCAGTTTCGTGTAGTGAGGCCACGCAGTGGCTCGCTGCAATTGGGGACGAGATGGAATCCCATGACATGAATCAGACTTGGGAGTTGGTCAGACGTCCACAGGCAAGGAAGATTGTTACAAACAAGTGGATCTACAAGAAGAAGGAAGGAATCACTTCTGTAGAGGACATTAAGTTTAAAGCTCAGGTAGTTGCAAGAGGCTTTTCGCAGAGGGAAGGTGATTCGAGCCTAAATGTACACTTTTTATCCCCGTTTCTCTTTGACATTTGTGGCAATTGAGCTCCAAAAAGGGTGGTTTAATGATAGGTTTCTTGTGTTTCAATGTGTTTCGTAGTCTTACTATAGTGAAACCAACCCTGGAGTCGGAAGTTGGAAGAAAAGGAGAAAAGACTAGGCAAAGAGGAGTTTTCAGTCGCAGTTCCCGGTCAAAGCTTGGAGTTCACGGTCGCCAGGACCATGCAGTGGAACCACAAATCATGAAACGCGAAGCATCCAGAGGGGTTTCAGAGGTTACTGACGCCGAGGCAGTTCACGGTCGCTAAAACCGTCAACTGGGGCCATGGACCATGAACCCCATTCGTGAAGCGACGCGTTTTGATCAAAGTTCACGGTCGCATTCTGATATTCCTGGCCGTGAACTAGGACCGTGAACCGGGTGCGATTTAAGTATTAATAGAGAGTTGAAAGGAAGAAGAAAGGGGAGCCCAGAGTGAGAGAAAGTCACAAACCAAGAGGGAGAAGAGGCTAGGGTTTGCTCCAAGTGCAGAATTGGGAAGTTCCACTTTAAGGGAGAATCTCTTCAAGCACAAAGGAGGATTGAGACATCATCCATGATGAGTTTTCCTCTTTCCTTTGTGTTGTCCTTTTTCTAGCATGGAGCAGTCTCCTATTCACTTGGGTGTTGTAGAACCCTAACTTATACCATGTAGCTACTTGTATGGATTGAATGATTGTGTGGGGGTGATGTTTAATTTGAGATTTGAGGTATTTTTCATGGTAAGTGTGCATTGTGTGTGCCTTGCAATCTATTGTGCTATTCTAAACTAGCTTAGAGGAAAATCCCCTTTTCTAAAGAGACTCTAATTGAGTTGGTTTTCCTAGGTATTCTATGCCTCCTAACTATGTTAATGTAGGGAAAATCTCTAAACTCAAATTGAGTTTCTAAGTTAATTGTGCTTTGGCCGCTCCAAACCCCGGTTTGAGGGAGAAGTAAAGGCAACCATCAATTTCTTGGGCCAAGAGGGCTACATTTGTATCCTAGAATGCTTTCCTTGGCCTAGCAATTGAGAGGTGGTTTACAACCACTGTTTTCTCTCCTAGTGGCTCACAATCGCATTGTCCCACACCGATTCATTCGATCTCACGGTTCATGGTAGTTGGTTAGGGGAAAACAACACCCGAGCGAAGCTTCTCACCTAGAGTTTTCCACCACTTTACTTTTCGAGTCTTGCTTTTCAATAGTAGATTGTAGTGGTTTTCGCAAAACAACAATCCACTAGATAATGTTTCAAACAGTCGAAGTAGGGGTACATGGGCCGGCCCGGATCGATATTTAAACATACTTGCCCTATATTGCACCCATTTAAGGTTTTATACTTGGACCTTAGATGGGATTTTATTGAGTTAGTTGGGTTGAGTCAAGTTTTTTACGTCGTTGCAAGGGATCTTTTGTCCATTATTTTGGAAAGATTGTTTAGTGTTAATCTAGATTTTACTTTGAGTTTCGATTGTGTGAAGTGTTGTTTGTGCTAGACGTGTTGTTATTCTTTTAAGTGTGTGCAAGGAGGTGTATGACCCGGAGCAATCCGACACCTTTAACACCACTAGACGAGAACACCAACTGGACTCTCTGACTCTTGGCTCGTCAGAGGGAGTTAGCGGAAGCAAGAAGGAGAATTGAAGAGAGGGAACTTCAATTTGGTCCCGGAATTAGAAGAGTTGAACTAGAAGGTGAAGTTCAAATGGCGGCGAATCAACCACAAGGTGCTAGTCCGCCTCCAAATCCAAATGCGTAGGCGAGAGATGAGGAAGAACCAAGCACTATGGGCTATTACATGGCTCCACGGGAGGCGAGAGATGAGGAAGAACCAAGGACTATGGGCTCACCAATAAATCGCCGAGGGAACATGTTCAGAGTTTCCTTGAGCTTGCGGAAGTTTGAAGATAAATGGCGTCTCTGCGGAGGCATTGCAATTGAGGCTATTCCCCCTACTCTCTTGCGGGGAAAGCACTCCAATGGCTGAACAACCGCTCAGCTCGCTAAATTACCACATGGGACAATTTTCTTAACAAATTCATGACCCTATATTGTCCTCCTTCTAAGAAGGCCAAGTGGAGGAAGACGATCAGTCAATTTGAGCAAGAGGAACATGAGACATTGAGGGATGCATGGGAAAGATTCTCTGACTACTTCCTCCAATGCCCTCACCATGGGTTCGAAGAGCAATTTCGGATATAGACTTTCTATGGTGGTCTCATTGACACGCTAAAACACAACACCTAACAATGGCCAAGTGTAACCAATGAAAGGGACTGCAGTATAGTGGCACAAGTAATAAATATCGAATCCACGGGTCTCTAGAGTTACTATTACTCAGCTTCAGTTCATTATCTAGCAAACTAGATTAAGGATTGATTTAACAAAACTACTCTACTAACTAAACTAAGTAAAACTACTAATTACAGTTTGGGAACTCACTTAGGTATGATTACCCCTAACTCCTCAATTAGGTCCAAGTTGCAATTACCTTTGGTTGATCTACTGTTGATTACACTGCGGAAGATCCTAAATTAACTTGGAATCTCTTAAGCTGACCAAGCCCTCTCAGTCCAACTACCCGGCAGACAACTAGTATTCAACAGGATAGAAAGCTGAGGCTATGAACACAGAACTCCACTACTGGAATGAATTCCAGTACAAAGCAGTGAATTGATTGACTCTCGCACAACCAATTCACCACTATCAATCAAGGAAGCTCTCTTAACCTAATCAGATTCTATCTATCATAGGTTAAAGCAGAAATCAAGAGAATTTGATCAAGATTCAATTGACTCAATAAATCATGCATCAATCGATTATAATCAAACAATATAGCATCCAAAACTTCATACAAGAAAGATCCTAACAAATGGAACTAGGGTTCCTCAAAACCTAAGTGAAGGGAAGTTACTCCATAGAGAAGAGAGAGACTGCAGAAATCTGATCTAGATCTTCAATCTCCATCTCCAAGCTTGATTCCCGAGCTCCAATGGCGAAGAAATCCTCCAAAATAGCTCCAAG